GAAAGAGAAAGAGAAAGAAGAGAGAGAATCGATTAATTTCCCGTGAGAAAAGCTTGGAGGCATCCAAAGAAGACACCTAAAGCTATAACATGTTTTTGACACTTTTTGCTACGAATGTTGCCATTGAGATTCCTTGCCAGCTTCCACTTTAACCCCACAACCTCTTTAATTTCATCAGTTTTACACGTTCCCATGCAGAAGAATGTTTCATTTCACTGTTTTCCCTTGCTCTGTGACCCCACGTACACGTTTCTTATGTATAATGAAATCGGTGGCTTATTATTTTGCACAGGACAAAGTTACACCAGCTTGCACATGTTGTCCTTTCCTCTGTTATCCACTTTGACTGCTCTAGAATGCTGCAAATCAACTCCATTCCTACTAAATGATTAACCTCATGCTTTTACTCATATTTATCAATTAAGTTAAAGCATCTCAAGAAGTAACTGGCAACTGTAGATAACCAACTATAGGAGTAAATTTAACTTACTGATATTAACAAACTAAGAAATTAACCAAATGATTATTTTATGAGATTAACCAACTAAGACCTAATACAATAGCTAGAAGAAAGCTTAAGTTTACCGATGATTAATTTATGAGATTGTACTAATTTTGATGATCTTTTTGCTTTATTTTGGATAAGTTGTTAACTAATTCGAGTTAATGCGTGTAAAAATAGAGTTTTGTCTGCTGATATATCTTCTCTTTTATAGAATTATCACCTTTTCTATCTTGTCTAGTTTAGAATGTATGTATATGCATGACTTAATTGGCTTTTTCAGATTTTTTTTTCCTAATGATATCTCTTCTCGTTATGTCTACTTTAGCACACATTTTAGAACGAAAAACTACATCCTTATCTTGCTATACCTTATCTGGGTCGTTGTGACATGGTGTGTTTAGATTATGCATGCGTAATAATACAGTGTTTCACACTTCAAAGAATTTCTTTTGATTTCATTGGTGTGCTGAGTTGATAAAGGTCAAATTGTGAACATTGTTTAAAGCCAAGATGAATACTGCATACCTCTTTTGTTTTTATTTGTGTAGTCTATCGCTTTTTATTCCTTTGAATATTAAGCTATATATTTGAAGCTTTTGGGTACAGTTTAGAGTGTTTCATGTGCCATTACTTAATAAAATTTTGCTTATAAAATATATATTCACCTATCAATTTGATAAATATCATTAGTGTGTACAATTACAAAAAGAAACCAAATAAAAAAAACATAATAAAATTGTATTTTTTTTTTAAAACTTGTACAAATACTTTTTGTCCAAGAAAACTCTACTTGAATTAATTGGATAAGATATTAAACGAATTTTTTAAAAAATATTTAATGCAATTACATGTTATACATAATTCAAATATAGAATTATTAATTAAGTTAGAGCAATTTATTTTTTTTATTCAGACATTCAAATGATTTTTTTTTTCTGAGGAAACAATACTTAGCAACTATACACTATATATTTGACTAAAACTCTAGGGGATTTTTTTTCGCACTTCGGCTTGTAAAGTTAGCATTCAATAGTTAATGAATTAATGCAATAGTTTAACCATTCTAAATCAAGGAAAGGTAAAAGGTAACTTGACTACTAATCAAAAATACCTTCGTGATTTTCCTACTTTTCCTGGTCAATTTTGTTTAGTTACTCAATTCTTTGTTAACTTCCCATTTTTAAATTAAAAAACTCCCAATAATTTATTATTTGTAGTCCCCATAAAACATACCGTGTCAAACTAGGCCTTAATTAGCCTGAGAAGAACGAAATTGGTTCGGTGACAATGAATATCTCACGAGGAAAAAAACAAAGGCCTTGAAGTTAAAACATTTCATGCATTTTTCGTAATTCCAAAACTGCATCATCACATGTGATCAACAAGATTCTGTGTCCTCGTCCTCTTTATAAGCCATCAAATATTGTTTAGATTTCTTTGCACATAGTTCTCTTGTGAGAGAGAGAAATATGGTTTCAAGGGTTCACAAGAGAACAGCCATGTACAGGAACCTACAACTGCTTCGTTCAATCAGATGCTCTCACTCGGTGATTACTCTGAAACATCTCTTTCTTCCCTGTTCTTTGCATGCAGTTTTCCCCTCAATGTTCAGTTTCTTGACAAACTTTATTTCATGCAGAATCCACTTTAAAAACGGGGAACACCCTTTTGAATTCTATCACAGTTATCACTTTCATTCTCTTTCTCTTATCCAGTTATTATATTTCATCCCATTAATCAAAGTTTCTAGGGAAACTTCTCCACTCCATTTTAACATCATGTACTTACTTTGATAATTTCTTTTCTACTTGTGTGTATATTGAGTAACAGTGAGATATATAAATTCCACACTATATCTCATCTTCTGCTTATATTTTGACCGAGTGCATAGTTTGTTCAAAAATTGAAGATCACGTCGTGAAATATTGAAACTTTTTCTGTGTTTATGCAGCACCCTAAAGCCTCAGTGTTATTGGATTTGTCAAATTACATAGAAGGTTTAAAACATAAGCTGCAAGAGTTGAATCAGTTAACTGTGGCAACAGCACGAAAAATCGTTGACTATGATCCAATGCCTAAGGTATATATTAGAACCTGATGATGTACTCATTTCTTTAGAAAAGTAAATATTTTTTTACAAAAGCACGTATTTCTTTTACGGGATACAATCCTATTCAAGTTCAATTAGATGACTAAAAATGACAAAAATCTTTTCTGCATAACTCAAATTTAAGATTATTAATTAAATTAGAATAGTCTCTTATCAGTTTATTCATGTGTTTCAGAAATTATTATTATATTAAAAGCATATTAAGATTATTTTAATTTTTTTTAAAATTATTAATGTCAGTGGGATAAAAGTTATTAGTTAATTCATATCAAAGCAAAGAATTCTATATCCTTACGTACCCCCCTATGATCTGCAGATGTCGGTGATAATTAATCTGTGTTTGTTGTTTATGATTTTGTAGCTTGAAGTTGAAGCACAAGAAGAGGGTTTTGTGATCAAGGTTCTGAGTCAAAGCAGTTGCCAAGGGTTGTTGGTGTTTATATTGGAAGCCTTTGAAGAGCTGGGTCTTGATGTGCTTCAGGCTAGGGTTTCTTGTGCAGACAGCTTCAGTTTAGAAGCTCTCGGAAACAAAGTAATGAAGTAACACACAATTAACATAACTATTTAATGAACAGTTCTAATAACACACTTTCAAATATACTTATTTTTATTAGTTAAAATTTGTTGAAAATTATAAAATGAAAAGAGTGAAAATCATTAAATAAGATATTGAACCACCAATTTTTGTGCTTTACAAGAACAATACTACTGATTGAGGGCAAATGTTTGTAGGCACAAGCACAATCAATCAAAAACTTTTGATAAATCTAAAATATTTTCACTACCAATTTCACTTTATACTTTATTAGTATTTTAATATCCTTTGTGTTCTTAATTAGTTGTATATGCAGGCATTGTACACATGCAAAAATTACACATATCAAGAACCACTCCCCCCCTTAATTATTTGTATTTGTACTGTAATCATTTTAGGTGGAGCCACTGATGGAATTAATTATTTGTTTTGGATGTTCCAGGAGAACAATGAAGATACTCGCCCTTTGGATGCACACTTAGTTGAAAAAGTAGTATCTCAAGCTATTCAAAACTGGAGGGAAGTTTCACAGATATAGTGATCCAGCACCTATTGTCGTGATAAAATTAAAATCTATGTTTGCTTAGTTTCCTTCTTGATACAATGTTTACTACTTTATAGAAGTTGGCCTTTCTGATGAATATTTTGATTATGATAAGATAATGCTCAACTTTCTCAAGATAAACACTCTTTGTATACAATTTTCTTTTCTCTACTTAAATTTTTAGTGAGTGAATAGAGGTTTAATTTCAGAACATGTGTTATTCCTCACGTGTAACTTGTTCTCTATGCATAATGTTCTAGGTTATCGTCCTCCCTTTCTAAATTTTAACTAGAAAATGCCTCAATTTTAAATATTGAATAACATCTTAAACTTTTTTTACAAAAATTAATCATCAATAAAATCAATAAAAACTTCACACAAATTAATAACATGATTATTAACCCAAAATTAACGGCAGTGGAACACGATAATATGCAAATTTTACGGATATTGTAATTATTTCTCTTCTTGAAAAATAAAAGTTAGTGACCGAGGGAAATATATAATACTACACACATACACACAATATATATATAATGTATTTTTGTTAATATCTATTTATAAATTGAATCCTATTCATGTTATAAAAAAAGCGTTTTAATAATTAAAGTTAACTTTAGAAAAAGCTTCAGACTATTTCTGAATACCAAGTTTTCAAAGACAACTTGTTATTCGACAAGACTATCATGAAGAAGAAAATAGAACCTCGTCCTCCTTTTGTTGTTCTTCTACGTATGATATCATCATCATGAAGAATGCCGAAGCCTTCAAAGTCCTAATTATCACAAGTAGACTGACCATTTATATTGTTTGAATTGTACTTATCATGTGGGTTCCATACAAATATCCAAAATTTGATTGTGAACGTTCATGACGAGTAAGTAAATAAAAGAGATTCCATTTAAGTTGAAGCACGAGATTTAAATTAGGAGTGTTAGCAAATTGGATATTTATTAACAGAACAAAAGGAAAAGAAAACCCAAAGCAATATTACTGACACCCAACAAAACATTATCTAACATTAACATTAAGCGATAATCACCCTTGGATCGATGTAGCTCAAAATCATTAACATAACATCATCTTTACTAGTACTACAATAGAATTTACTATTATCAACGATTATATAATTGGAAAATTTCACTCTAATTCAGAATTAACGATCTTAGATTGGTTGGAAAATATGACATCCTCAAAAATGCTACCCACTATACAGTATTTGAGTAATAAGGTCAGAAGAACTTTCACTAAGATTTTATAGTATACTTTTTCATCAGTACGTAATTTGGTCCTTTGTAATACTGATGGAAAAACTCCCGGTAATTAGAGAGTAAGGCAGAGAGAGAAAAAAAAAAGTTGAATTTTCAGTATGATATATATATATACATATATATATATATATAATTTATAAATAAAGATATTCTTATTGTCTAAAATGTTGATTTGCTTGAATGAAACTTATTTAATAGAAACTAATGAAAAAAATTAACGTAAATTAATAAAAAGAGATTCTTTTTATATATAAGTAAAGATACACACCTTATCCTAATCTGATTAGGAAATTATAATTATTACAGCATTTGATAATTTATTTTTGGTACACAGCATTTGATAATTAAATGTGGGTAAATTCCTAGTTTGAAGTTAAAAATAGTCAAATCAGATGATAATCAACGACCAATATATCAAATAAAAAAGAGGTGAGAGTTTTTTTTTCTTCTTTTTTTTCATTTCTCATTCTTGGGCTTTTACATGTTGTATATCCAAAAGTAGCTAAATCCAATAAGCAAATCATCAGGCCTCTATACATTATTTTATTGGCAGAAATAACTTGAAACACTTTTAAAAGAACGAACGATTGATCAAATAGAGAAGTATTAGCCTCTTATAGTACTCATCAACCTTAGCTCCCAAGTTTTGCATGAAAACAGCCATCTTGTTGTTTCGTTCCTTGGCATGATCATGCTTCATGCATGCATACCAATAACTTGCTCGAATCTAACATCTTTTTTCCTCACATTATTCTCTCTTTACATAATTAATTACACTCTGTGTTAGACAAAGAGAATCACCCATCACCTGCATTCAACCAAATTATTATTAACCTTCTCCTTCCACTACACATTATTGTTGTGCTTTTTGTCTCCAAAGAAAAGTATATACCAAATTTTTTATGCCTGAGTGAGTAATCAAAGATTATCTATGTCAAATTATATTTTAAATATAACATATCATTTTATATATTAAGAATGAAATGCTAGATATACTTGAAAATAAAAATTTGATAATTAATTTTATAATGGATAAGAGAATAAAGATTAATAAATTATATTAAATTAATTTTGTAATCGATAAATTAGGGGCAAATATACAGAATATATAACCACAGACCTTAAAACATGCACAATGAACATTACGGATAGAAGTAGTCGAAAAATGATGGAACAAGATGGCCAAAAGACCAAAAAATGAAGACAATTACACCAAATTAAGATGAACCGATGAAGTACCGTTTAAACTATTTGTCCCAAATTATGGTGTTCAATATCTTTTGATAACCAACCATAATTTTCTGCCTGTCCTATTGGCATATTTTTTTTAACTAACTTCCGCAATAACATTTGTTGGATTAACACTACGGGTGTACAAAGTAATTATGATCAACTAAATTACTACCTCGAGTGCTAATTATAAATAATATAGAATAAATTATTATGACAATAAAGTAATCAAACTAGTTATTTTTAATTAATTTTACCATAAATTTAAATTTTATTCTAAAAATATAGTTTTTTTAAGAGGACATTTGGTTGAAAAATTTATATTTTTTGGAATCATGTTTTGGAAAGTATCATAAATTATGCAAATCATGATTTCATAAATGAATAAATTTGTTTGGTTGATCATAAGTGTTTTTGAAAATATTTTTAAATGTTACTTAAGAATAACCTATTTTTGTTATATTAACTAAACAAATTAAAGTAATGTAATGTTTTTACTACAGTAAAACATTCATTTTAATTTAGGAATGTTAAATTCCCACCTATCTTCATGGGATAATTCGGTGAAAAAACTATATAAAAAAAATCATGTTTGCTAATAATGTTATTTTTAAAATGATAACTTTAGATTTCTGAAAAATTATAAAAATATTACAGGTACCAAATACTTCATAAATATTTGTTATATTTAATGTTAATTAATATATATATATATATATAAAATAGAGTTAACAATACATTAAGTGTATGTGATTTAAAAAACTAGTGATTGTTAGTTATAATTAATTAATTAGAACTAAAGAAAAATCAATTTGTTACTTATAACTAGGATCAAATATAGTATTAGTTAACTAAATTAGACTAAACTACACAAAAAAAAACCTAAACTATTTTGAATGAAGATCAAACAAAACTATATTTTAGTTCAATTTTATAAAACTAAATTATTATAATAAATAATTTATAGTGAGCTACAATTATTGAACTAAAATATTCCTAATTAAATTTATAAATCTAAAATGTTGCTTTGATAATTTGGTGCATTATTATAAAATTAAATTATTCCTTGATAAGGTACTAGTCCTAATTTGTTTTTATTTATTTTAAATTCTTATTTATTTGCATTATGATTCTATATAAAATTATCAAGATTCACCTCAAGAAATTTTTTTCAATTTTTCTAATTGAAGGGGAATGTTATGTCGTGTGGTATACTGTACATAGTAATCAAACTTAGGGAGTGTATTGGTTTAGGATTTCATAGAATTTTAAAAGACTTTTTTTGAGTAAAAAAGTTTGTTGATATTCAATCAGGATTTTATGTCAGTTAAAAATAATGCAGTGGTATTCAATCAGGATTTTCAAGATTTTTTAACACTATAAGAAAAATTGTTATTATCTACGGAATATTACTTACGGAATTTTTTCCGTAGGTAATATTTAGTTATTTACGGAATATTACCTACGGAATTTTTTTCGTAAGTAATGTTTGGTTATCTACGGAATATTACCTACAGAATTAGTTATCTACGGAATATTACCTATGGAATTTTTTCCGTAGGTAATTTTTAGTTACCTACGAAAAAATTCCATAGGTAATTTTTAGTTATCTACGGAATTTTTTTCGTAGGTAATGTTTAGTTAACTATGAAATATTACCTACAGAATATTTTTCGTAAGTAATATTTAAAATTTTCTTTCTCACAATTTTTATTATATATATTTTTTCTTTTAATACAATGTAGAAACGAAATGCGTATATTATATTTCTTTTAATATTTTAAAGTTTAATATTAGTAATAATTTATTTTATTTTTAAAAAAATTGTACTAAAGTATGTAAATGTATTCTATCATTCAATCCAGTTCTTGATGTAAGCTCGCTCATATGTTTGCCCGGATGCCACAATCACAGGATCCGTCATCAATTCCAGAGAAAGAGGACAACAAAAATCAGCAGGTATTGGAACTGGGCTGCTACTCTGGGCTTGCTTGAGCATAACAAGATGATCATGCATACGTGTTACAACAGTAATCATTTTATCAATGTATTCAGCTTCTGCATTCTTTTCAGATTGTTCAGCATTCTCCTTCAACCTTTCAAGAGCTACAGCCTCAATCAGAACCTCTTGATTAGTCCTTAGGCCCAGGCTATCAGCAATTTTTGCCAGCACCTCTAAATTGGGTCCTACATTTTCCAGTTGTTCTGTAATATCTTCCTTAACAATTGATGTGGTCTCTTCATGTCCCAAAAGCTTAAGTTTTTGAGAACAGTTCTGCAATTTTTACATAGATTATACATCCTACAATTTTTCCTTATAATAAACATATTAATCCAACTAGGTGGGGATCTTACATTAACTACTGGGTCAGTATAATATTTACCTGTAAATGTTCAGAACTTAATTCATCAGGGAGACAATGCTGAGAAGCCTTCAGCTGCTGGAAAAGATTGAGCCCCAAAGTGTGAATTCTTAATATTAGGGGTTCAACTTGCATAACCTAGCAATCAAGAATGAGGAAGTAGTGAGAAACTGACATGCAATACAATCTACAAGCAAGAATCAAACCATGAAAGTCCACGAGATGCAGGCACAACAAAAGAATTACTATACATTCTAATTCTAGACCATGTGGCAACCCAACTTAAGCAATGATGCTTGAGTGCTGCTCACTTCTAACCCAATCCCAACTCACAAAGTCGAAGACAAAAGAAACAGCAAGCTTTTCAGGACTCAGGAGTGATGTCTGGCTATGTTTCCTTGAAAAGGTTCATGTGACGGGCACTAAGCTCCAAGTGGGTTAGGAAAGGATCCATTAATGGATGGATTGGATGTAGTTAATTATTAGGAATTTTGGAGTATATGTGATAAGAATAACTTAACCTGAATCGGCAGTTCTGTATTAGAAATTGTGTGATGTCAGTTATTCATAAAAAATAACTTATGGCAGTTATGTATTTAGAGTATATCTGATAGTAGGCTGTGTGATTAGGCAAGTGTGTAGTTAGTTACATTTTGTGGACAGAGAATACTCTCTATAGGAGACTTTTGTCTGAGACAGCAACTAACAAGTATATTGTTGTACTGTGTGTGATTTCAGTGTTCAATATTATATTTGGTAGATTAGTTTATTAATTGGTATTCTATCATTTTGGTCCAACCAGCAGAATCATTAGAAAGGGACATCTGTTAGGCCAGTCAGTTGATCATTTGACAACGACTAGAGTTTCTGTTAGGACCTTTGGAAGTTTCTGTAGCCCATTTCATCAGAACTCCACAGTTAAGCGTGTTTGAGCTGGAGTAGTATAAAGATGGGTGACCTTCTGGGAAGTTTCCCAGAAAATGTGCAGTAAGGACAAAACACGTTAAATAGTGAAGTGTCATAAAATAGCATCCTTGAGAGGCCAAATATGAGAGTTGTTACATTAATAAATTTATTAAAATAAAAAAAAAAATTTGTAGGTAACGTTACCTACGGAAAATTCCGTAGGAAATGTTACCTACGAAAAATTCTGTAGGTAACTTTACCTACAGAAATTTCTGTAGGTAACGTTATCTATGGAATTTTTCGTAGGTAACGTTACCTACGAAAAATTTCCATAGGTAACCTTACCTACGAGCTTATTACCTACGGATTTTTTTCTGTAGGTAATTAACAGTTACCTACGGATTTCTTTCGTAGATAATGCTGATTTTTCTTGTAGTGTAAAGAGTCAATTAAAATTCATTGGTATTCATTTGACACTTTTTACAACTTAAAAACAATCCACTGGTATTCAAAAATTTAGGAATTTTAAAAGATTGTTGTATTAGAGGGATTTTGATGGACTTTTTAGTGGTATCTATAAATACCAAATTCATAAAACAATCACATCTAAACCCATAAGATTTTGGAGGATTGTTTGAAGTGACTTTTCAAGTGCTTCAAGAATTTTCAAGTGAGTTTTTCATTTTTTTTCTATGCTCATGTTTCTCCATTTTTCTCTCGTTAATAATACTGCACTACTATTTATATATAATATTGTACTACTGTTCCCATTCCATTCTCCTATTTGGTGAAATTTCTATACGTAAATGATAGTGTCATTAACTTGCTTTATTTTTCTCTCCGTTCTCTTTAATTGACTTGCTCTATTTTGGTCTATTTAATTGAGATTGTTCCTCAGTTATATAACACAGAAAATACTTGAAATTTTAACGTTTAAGTAGTAATTTTTTTTATAACATGCGTCAAGAAAAGGGAAAGGTGAAAGCTAAAATTTATATTATGATCTCTATAATCAATTATAGATCTTCAAGACCTTGTAATCAATTTAGATTTATTAGAACAGTATATATAT